TGTTGGTCTACCAGATATTAGAGGAAGAGAAGAGATACTAAAGGTGCATTGTAACAACAAGAAGCTTGACAAGGATGTTTCACTCAGTGTCATCGCTATGAGAACGCCTGGATTTAGTGGAGCAGACCTGGCAAACCTTACGAATGAGGCTGCCATTCTTGCTGGTAGGAGAGGCAAACAGAAGATCACCATGAAGGAGATTGATGATTCAATTGATCGAATCGTAACAGGAATGGAGGGAACCAAGATGACAGATGGGAAGAGCAAAATCCTTGTGGCCTATCATGAAGTTGGCCACGCTGTATGCGCGTAAGATTTGCAAAGTGATCTCTCTAATTAGTCATGTAGGAACAATAAGAGAAGGCAATATGGCTTACTTGTTTGCCACGTTTGCTGCTTGCAGAACTCTTACTCCAGGCCATGACCCAGTGCAGAAAGTCACTCTGATTCCCAGGGGCCAAGCCAGAGGACTAACATGGTTTATATCCAGCGAAGATCCTACTCTTGTCTCCAAGCAACAACTATTTGCCAGGATTGTTGGAGGCCTAGGAGGTAGAGCAACGGAGGAAATCATTTTTGGAGAATCAGAAATCACAACAGGTGCAGCAGGTGATCTGCAACAAATTACTCAAATAGCAAAACAGGTAAAGTCGAAGAAACCCAGCTCTTCGTATTCTAAATTTCCTATTACATCAAACTAGTTAATAAAATGAATAAAGAGCTTATCATAATCTGGCTTCCTTCTTACAGATGGTGACGATGTTTGGCATGTCTGAGATTGGACCTTGGGCATTGACTGATCCAGCAGTGCAGAGTAGCGATGTGGTGCTAAGGATGCTGGCGAGGAATTCAATGTCTGAGAAACTGGCCAAAGACATTGATTCATCCATAAGAAATATAATTGAAAGTGCATATGAAGTTGCAAAGAATCACATAAGGAACAACCGAGAAGCCATTGATAAGCTTGTTGAGGTTCTTCTTGAGAAGGAAACTCTAAATGGAGATGAGTTCCGGGCTATCTTGTCTGAATTTACTGATATATCTTCAAATGGTTTAGACAAAAAACCCATCCTTGAGATGATTAATGCTTGAGAATGATCCATCAATGTAGTTGATGAAATAGTATAAATTATACTGTAATTACAAGTAATAACAATTTAACACCATATCCTCCAATGCAAAGCGTTTATTGAACACCATGTCCTACAAAGCGAACCCCTTTTCATTTAGGTACCTTCAAGAGATCTACACATAATGTGGAGACTAAATAGCAACAAGGCAAGGGTTATTTTTTACTTTATCTGGGTGATTAATACTTTCGTTTTTCTTTATAATAAAGTACATTCTAGGTTTGTATTATAAATTTTTTGTAATAGAATAATTGATAAAAAATTATATATGTTTTAAAAAATTAAAATTAAAAAAAAAAAAAAGAATTAACATGAGAAATCCGTTACCTATAAATGTTAAATTGAAAATGCTTGGACATATAAAGATTTGTATGTACAAACAAGATGTGGATCACGAAGGATTGAGGAAACCCTCACCAACCCAAATGAATGGTTAGGTTTACAATTCCAACCGTTAACGAAGTCTTCCCTCTAAAACACCCCAACTGCATTTCAAAATTTCTATCCAAAAAACACCAGTGTCTTGCTTTCCTAAAGCTATGCTCCTCAATCAAACACCTTTATCAAATCCATGCACAAGTCCAAGTCTTTGGTCTGCAAAGCGACACTTTTCTACTGAGCGAACTCGTACGATTCTGCTCCTTATCTTCCTGGAAAGACGTGAGTTATGCTCGTACCCTTCTTGATACCTCAGTTGACTCTATGCCCTCTTCATGGAACATGCTGATCAGAGGCTATGCCTCCAGCGATTCCGCCATGGAAGCGATTTGGGTCTTTCACGAGATGCGAAGGAGACGGATTAGACCCAACAACCTTACATTTCCGTTTCTGCTCAAGGCCTGCGCTATGTGTTCGCTGCTTAAGGAAGGAAGACAGGTTCATGTAGAAGTTTTTAAATATGGTTTGGATTGCGATGTGTATGTCCAAAACAATCTGGTTCACTTTTATGGATCTTGTAAGAAGATACGGGATGCACAGCGCCTGTTCGATGCAATGTCTGAGAGAACTGTGGTTTCATGGAATGCAATTATTACTGCTTGTGTGGATAATTTTCAACTACGTGAAAGTATTAGATATTTTGTTAAGATGATAGAATGCGGGTTCGAGCCAGATGAAACCACAATGGTGGTCTTGCTCTCTGCTTGCGCAGAGCTTGGGAACCTTAGTTTAGGCATGTGGGTTCATTCTCAAGTAATTGCAAGAGGATTAGTTCTGAATCTTCTGTTGGGGACTGCACTTGTTGACATGTATGCCAAGTGCGGAGGTGTAGATTATGGGAAGGTAGTTTTCAATAGAATGGATGAGAGAAATGTCTGGACATGGAGTGCGATGATTATGGGGTTGGCGCAACATGGCTATGCCCATGAAGCACTTCATTTTTTCTCAATGATGAGGAACAAATCTTCAATACGTCCAAATTATGTCACTTTTCTCGGAGTCCTATGTGCTTGTAGCCATGCTGGATTGGTGGAAGATGGATACAGGTACTTTCATGAAATGGAGCACAAGCACAAAATTAAACCAACAATGATACATTATGGTGCCATGGTCGATATCTTGGGTCGAGCTGGCCGGCTGGAGGAGGCTTATGACTTCATCAGGAATATGCCTGTTGAACCTGATCCAATTGTCCTAAGAACACTACTTAGTGCCTGCAGTATCCACTCTAATGATGGTGATGGGATAGGTGATGAGATACAAAAGAAGTTGCTGAAAATGGAGCCAAAGAGGAGCGGGAATTTTGTTATCGTTGCAAACATATATGCTGAAGCTGGAATGTGGGATAAGGCTGCAAAGGTGAGAAGA